AGCAAGGATGATGTCATAATGGAGAATTAATACAGACCTCCAAATAGCCTGGGGGAAGGGCAAACTGCAAGGGTGATGTCATAATGCATTTCTATAACAGACACCAAACCAGGGAGTTGGGGGAAGGGGAAAATAGCAAGAATCTTGCCTGGGCCGACTGGGAAAAGCAACAGTGACATTGCAATGGATGTCTATTACAGATTTCCAAAGAGTCATGGGGAGGAGAACCCCAAATTGGGTGCGGGAGGGGTGGGAGCCTTCATTAGGCCACTCTCCAAGGCAACTATACTGCAGTCCCTGTGAGAAAGACCAAGGAAAGTGAAGGTTCCTCAATGAACACGCAAAGCAATCGAGTAATGGGCGAAGTGCAGAAGGCTGCTGCAGAAATGGTCAGGAAACATGAACATGGAGGAAGGATCTGAGTGCCCAGTTAGGAAGTTTGCAAATGAAGAGCAGTTTAGATAGTCACGTGGCTGAGCTGATTGGGCCAGGGATGAGCTTGCCTTGAGCCGGGGGTTGGACTAGACAACTTCTTGATGGTCCTTCCAGGCCTATGGTTCAATGACCCAGAAAATGAAGGGTCCCACCCCTACTCCACACAGTACCTTCTCTGTCTGCAAATTCTCCAGCTGAGATTTCAGGTACTTCCAGGTTGCCATGAGATAGGCTTCAGCACCTCTGTACTCCTGAAAGGCAGCTGATTCAAGCAGAGAGGTGCAATGGACAACTGCAAAGCGGCCGGTTTCAACCAGATTTGCTGAAAATCTGTGGATTCCAGGGAGTTGGGTCCCAGCACTGGAAAAAATGACTGCTTCTGCACGGTTTAGCCCAAGAGCACAGCAAATCCTGAAGTCTCTGTGGAGAAGAGAGGAGAGGACATTGTACCTAGAGTCTAGAGACTGGGTGAGTTGAGCCCAGGAGGGGGAGGCCCCTCGCCCCATGCCTTGCCCCAGAGCCAGGCAATGCCCTCCCCTGAGGCAGATCAGAGTTGGGGTCCCCTAGCGGGGAAAAGCACCTGCCCCTTTCTCCACAGCCACTCGGCTCTCTCATCACAGCTATCTCTTCCACCCTCCTTGGCATTGCCCTTCTCCTTCCTCACACCAGGGCCACTGGGCTCTAGTCCTCACCTCAGCCAGGGCTGCCCCATGGGCCAGCGCTTTCCAGTCCTCTGGCACTGCAGGCAGGGAGGGATCATGGCCACAGAGGGAGCAGCCAGAGGGCTGGAAATGGACCCAGAGGCTGCCCCACAGATTCACACTTCATTGGGGGCACCGTGTGCCCAGACAGGGGCATCCATCCTGAAAACAAGCAGACTAAAGAAAGGAGACTCCCAGGAGCTCACCAGGGCTGCTGCCCTCGCCTGGGCGCTCCAGGTCCCAGCGGGCACCAGGGCACCCGGGCAACATTGTGACATCAGCCAGCTCCCAACAAAGGGCGGTGAGGCTGGCAGCGCGGATCCCTCCCCCAGAGGATGTGATTCTCACCCTCGTGCTCCAGGCTCCCTCCACGTGGGGAAATAGTCCCCATTCAAGGCCCAGGTTGAACCAACAAAACAGTGAGGACAAAACATCAAGAAACAATAAAGAGTAGGGAGAGATGTTACAAGGCAATGGGACTTGTTGCATTACCCAGTCTTTATACCACCAACAATTAATCAACATGTTAGCGGGTGGACTCAGTGTGCACCAAATGGCACTGAGACCAGTGAGTGCCAAATGACCTAGGGTGAAGCGGTCTTGGGGAAGAAGCAGAGGTTAGAGTAGGCAGGGCTTGGGTGCCTGGACTGCTGGGTTCCCTGCCGAGCTGTGGGAGGTGAGGAGGGCCTAGTAATTAGAGCAGGGGTGGGGGAGCGTGGACGTAGGTGGACGGACAATGGGTTGGGGACGGGGAGGGGCAGGGCAATAAGCTGCAACCTCGTACACAAAACGATGTCTCCTTCCATTCACCAACCCCAACACACCAGTGCTCTGCACCCTGGACCCACCTCGGTCCCAGGCTCTGTTCCTGCCCCAGCAAGAGGTTTCCGGCAGCCCCAGGGAGTGCTCCCCTCAGGGCAGGAGACCTGAGACAGGCGGGCCTGGGAAGCACCAGTCATAGGGAGATAAGAGCCTGTGTCAGTGGATGATGCCAGTGGCCGAGCTGTCGCTCACGCAGGGGTGTGTGTGTCAGCACAACTGATGGCCGCTGCAGCGTGTTTCCAAGAGTCCTCCACCTGGACAAGGTACTGCTGGAGCAGGGGTGTTGCAGGAGGCCCAGTGGGATTGTTGCCCTCCCCTAAGGAATGAAATGCTCCCCTTCCACTTGCTGAGAAGACAAGCCCCCACAAGCCTCTGCGACAGCTGGGGAGCATGCACCCATGAGTGCTAGAGGAAGAGAGCATGTGTGATGTGCTCTGACATGAGAAGGGGCTGGCCACTTCCATAATGGATGGTGGCAGCTGTCTCAGCATGTTTGTGGAGCCAGGAGATGAAAGGCACAACTATAGGGGCTAATGGGTAGAGCAACCCCCGCCAGAGGCTCCCAGTCATGCCCTGTGCTCCTCCCCTGTCTCTCTGGGTAGCTGCTGTGTTAGGGAGTTGCTATCGTGACCTCGGAAAAAGATGCAACCGGTTAAACTCTGGACTCCTGGCAGGGTGAATGCAGGATCGATATGGCGAGAGATCGATATGGTCCAGGGGGACTAAGACAATAATACAGTTAACCCACATCAGAACAGGTCAGCCATAAGCAGCGTTACCCAGCAATGCTTTTGCTGCCCAAGGTCCTGCAGAAAGTGGCACGGTTTTGCAGCCTGCCACTCAGGGGCTTGTGGCTCTGAATGGTCCACCCAGGTCACCTGGTCCCCTCTTGGGGAGCTCATTGCAGGCCCAGACTGAGTTGAGGCTGGTACGTAACCAGACCCCTGTGGGCTCTGCAGCCAGAGCATCTGCCAGTGGATGCAAAATGTGTTGGCTCAAAGCAATGGGGTACTGACACTGCCCGTCTTCCACACCACCCCTCGGACCCGGCTTGTGTGGGTGGGCCCCGGGGAAGGCTGTGACTTCAGCTGGTACATGGGTATTTTATATGGGGCCTGATTGAGGTTGGGGAGAGGGCTGGGGAATGGGCTTGATCTGGCATGCGCAACACTCAGGCCTTGTTCTGAATGGTGGTAGGGCCCCATGCAGGCCTGCAGGGCAGGCTTGGCACAGGTGTGGAGTCCTGGAGTCCTGATGGCCAGTTCTGTGCCAGGCGGGCAGTGCAAAGTCACCACCAGAAAGGACTCCCACTTCACCTGGAAGCTGCTTCTCAGGCAGGTTCTCCTTTTGATGGGACAGGTGCACCCCAGTGCCCGTCCCAGAGACTGATTCACAAAAATTGCCCTCTTCCCACCCTAAGCCCAGCTCTCACCTGCACAGGCTACAGCCTCCCTTCTGCTCTGCATGTCTTTTGGTGACACGGTTTTCACAACCCTATTAGTTTTTATAATGGGTCCCAGTGCACACCCCATGTTTAGCTAAGGGTGACAACTTTTTCGGTGATTGCCTCCACCTTTAACCACCACACTGCTCTCCAACCCCCAGGCAGAGGGGTAGGGAGAAGGATTAAACCATATCCTAAAGCAATAATTAAGATGCTTTTGAAGTTATCAGGACTATTACTCCTTCCCGGACAGGCATGCAGCAATGTGGAACATGCCTAAATGGGAACCAATTCTTCTCTTTTTTTGGTAATTGATGGACTTCATCTGTGTTTCCACCACAGAGCACCTTTCTCCTGACTGGTTATTGTGGTGCTAGAGCTCCTCAAGACCATTCACCAAGTCCAAGCCAACCTAAAGGCTGCTAGCACTGCCTGTAAAAAGACAGAGGAAGACTGGCAGCGTCAAGAAGTTCCTTTGTTGGCAGCAGGTCAGTAGTTATGTCCAGTAAGAAGAAGGGCAATCAACAGTTATCAGAAAAGGAAAAAAATATTTACTTTATTACTCTACAACAATTTAACATGATGGATAGGACACCGCATTTGCTGCTTCTTTCTCTCTCCTCCGCCCAACGAGTATTCATGTTTTGGCCAAGGGTAGTAAGACCTGTTGTTTGGAGAACTGACACCGCTGTGATCTCGTTGTGCCCCAATGCCTCAGAGGAAGGCGAAAAACCCCCACAGCCAGTATGATCTTCAAGGGGAATGGGAGGAAAAATTCCTTCCTGGCCCCAACTGGCGACCGGCAAAAGCCCTGAGGCCTGGGATTGCAAAATGCCGCACACTGCAAGAGCTACCTGGATCCCGCAACTAAGGGACCAGAAATTCATGACACCAGTACCTCACCCCCAACACCTTGATGGGCAAAGTGGGTGGAAGAATAAGCCAAAGTTTCCACCCACTGGTAACTTCTCACATCTGGGCAGATGTTGAAATCTCTCCGAGTTAAGGCTAGCTCTGACTGATTCAGGGGGTGTTTGCATCAGTAGATGACCCCAGCGTGGTGGCTGATTCCGGGCTGGAGGTTCCCTCTGGGGCCGTCTTGCTGCCAGTGAGGCTCTGGATGGTGCATGGTGAATTTGTTCAGGGAGGTGCTGTCAGCCTCGCTGCTGGTTGAAGCTGTCACCATAAAGGGCGAGAATAAGCAGATGATCAGATATGCACACTGGTGCATTTAAGTCTTCTAAACAGGAGGGTAACGGTGATGGGCTGTATGACTCTGCCTTGTGCTTCAGACAAAGCACTAAATGCCTAAGTGGTTTCACCAGTCTTTTAGGATGTGGAAGACCTGATTTCCAGCCCCGTTCATTCCTGGGAGATGAACACACTCTGCCCGGTGTGTAGCCCAGGTCCACTTCCAGTGAACTGGGGCCCTGTGGGAATATAAAGGAGCCCAGACCTTAACCTAAGCCATGGCAGCTTCTCCTGGTGGACTTGTACATGCTGTCATAGGTCATGGCTAATGATACGCAGCTGAAGGGGCTGTATTTTTGCAGGTTACATGCTGGTGCCATCCTGAGCATACAGCTGAACTGACCCCTTTCTCAAAGGCACTTACCAGGGTTCCCATTTCCTTTCACACTTTTTTCCCCAGGTCACCAAGTGTCAATGGATGAAGTGGCCTAGAGGTGAGGGGCCCTATGCCCCTCCACCCACTCCCTGAGCCTGACCCTCTGCTTACCTTGTCCCCGATCAGGTGGCCGGCTTCCCCCAGCATGGCGTAGAGGAGGATCAGCGCAGCACGGCTGACACACATGTTGATGTCCAAAACCCCCACAAGTGCCCTCTGCGCAGAAGATCTCCTTTGCCCCTCTGATAAGATCTTTTGAAACACCTGAAACCCAGGGGACAGAAAGTGTTTGCATATCCCAGAGCCAAGCTCTATGTACAGGCCAGCCCCTCACCAGGGCAGTAGTGGGAACCTTGTGAGCTGCAGAGCAGGTCTTGCTCCACAACCCAAGAAAGCCAATCTAAGGACACACAGCCCCACACCCTGAGCTTTGAGAGGGCTGGGCAAAGCATCCTTACCACCCCGACTTGGGCCAGGTCCATGTAGCTCAGGACCTGGCTCTGCTGTTCCCGGCTTAGACAGAGAAGCCCCTCTGCCTCCTGCATGTCTTGGCCTAGGACAGACAGAGAGATCTTACCCAGAGCTGGCATTGTGGCTTCATTGCTTGCTGTCTGCCTAGTGGGCCCAAGACTGCCCCCATGGCACAATGTGCACACAGGTCCTGGCAGGGTTTCATTGTCCTGAGTCGTATGAGGTGATCCAAGCTCCCAAGGCATCCTGTGTCCTTTATGTTCTGGGGGGTCTTGGACTGGCTGCCTGGTTTAGACAGGGTCAAATATTGGAACTGCCCGCAACCACTCAAGGCAAGCGCTGCTCCAAGTTACTTCCCTGGCAACACCACCAGGCTCTTTCTTGTGGTCTGTGCTACTGCTCCTGCCCAGCCTGGGGCTCTTTCCCACCATGTCTCTCCCAGCATCTTTCCTTTCCCCACATTCAAGGTCAGACCCTGAACATGCTGATTTTTCTACCCTAGCCTGAGGCCAAGCTGGGCTCTGTAGTGAAAGGGCTGGTGTACATTTGCACACTAATCTGGGTGTGGACAAATGTTGCCAGGGGAAGCTTCTTGTCCCCGAGCTGGGATCAGTCTGTGGGCAGAAGGATTGTTTCCATAGAGGTCTTGCACCCTGGCTGGGCTTCCTTACCCTTGTGGTGCAGCAGGATTTGGACGAGCAGGTGGATGCCCTCCCTGGCCTGGCAGCTGATGTCTGCTGTTGGGTGGCTGTGGGACAGACACAGCTGGGCCACGGTGTCACCCATCTGGGGCATGTCGGGCGAGTCCTAACAAGGGGGATAGGGGAAGGGAATGCATTTGCGTCCTACCTTGCATCACACACACACTTTCCCAGCCTGGGTGTCTCTGTCCATTTGCTCCTGCTGCCCCATGCCACAGGAGGGGTCGGAGCAAAGGAGCTAGAGCCAGAGCATTCAAGCCCTCTGTTCCCATCACAGCCTGGAGCCAAGCACTTCCCCAGCCTGGGTGTCTCTGTCCATTTGCTCCTGCTGCCCCATGCCACAGGAGGGGTCGGAGCAAAGGAGCTAGAGCCAGAGCATTCAAGCCCTCTGTTCCCATCACAGCCTGGAGCCAAGGGACTTAAGCTGGTCCCCTGGAGGTCTCCCTGCCCTGCTGCTCCAGGAAGGCCAGGACAGCCACAAGACCAAATGTGACACTGCCCAGAGCAGGGTGATCACATGGCAGCCTCAAAAGACCCAGGAGGCACCCCTGAGCCAGGGGCCCCTTACCTCAAACTGCGGCAGGAGGGAGACAGCAAAGTGGAGAAGGACGTTGCTGCTCCTCATTGCCTTTGTCCTGTCCATGGCATTGGGAGACTGCGGCCAGGTTGTAAGGTGCTGTGGGAGAAACAAGATCAATGGCCACTGGCCCTGGCTGTACTCATGAGCCCATCCTCATGCCCTGCCTCAAGGCTGTCTTGGAGCTCAGGATGGAGCAAGTGCCGCGTAGGACTGAGAAGGGACTGTGGCCCCAGGGATGTGGCACCTGCCCTGCACCTCACTACTGGTCCCTGTGTCTCGAGACTGGCATAAAATTCATTTTCAGGCTTGGCTCTCTCCGAATGTCTGATTCACAGATAATCAGTTGGGAAGGGGACCCACACCTCAATCCTGCCCAGACCCAACGGTCAGGACCAGGACAGCCATCCTTAACTTTGGGGCCAGTGCCTCAAGGCTCTCCAGGCCTGGTGCAGACAATACAGATGCCTCATGACAAATCTGTCTCTCTCCTGACAGGGCAGGGATTCATCCCTGGGGACAACCTTGGGCAGCTCACAGGGCACTGAGGCTGTCCCTCCCCAGAGCCCAGCTCCTCCGCACTGTGCTCACCTCCCAAAGGAACTGCAGCCTGTCCAAGCTGGGTGCGGTGGCCAACAGGCTCCTCAGCATGGCCTCCAGGTCCTCCATGTGCTTCTGCTGTTTGGTCTGGAGGGGAAGGATAGCCAAGGTTCAGTACCATGCAGCCTGGGGCTGCACCTGCCAGGGGACTGTGTAGGGGGAGGAGGACTGACCCTGACATAAAGGCTGTTGTGTCTTGGGGATGTCAGGCAGATCTTCAGGGTGGTCTGCAGCAGGCATGACTCCATGGCTGGCTCCAGGGCTGGCTTCAGTTCGCTGTCAGGAGAGAGGAGCCTGTGTGAGACCGAGCTCTGGGGGGTTGGCAGGGTCACTGCTCTGGGCTGGACACAGGCTGGGGAGTCGGCATCAGCTGGCAACAGTGAAGCAGGAGCTGACAGGTGGTTACGAACCGGCTGAAGTCTCCCAGCCCATCAGCATCAGGCCTGCAATAGAGCCCCCTCTCCCACTGTCCCCTGTGACCCTGCTGCCCTCTTGCAAGACCCCCACAGCTATTCTCTTTTCCTCCTTCCAGTCCTGGAGGTAAATATCTCTCCAGCCAGGAGGAAGTGATGCCCTTGCTCTTTGGCATAAATGGATGATGGCCACTGGGGGCAGGTGATTTGGCTGGTGTGGGTGAGGCCCAGGGCCTGATCCAGGGCCAAAGCCAAAATCAGGCCTGGAGGTGTTGGGCAGGGATACCAGTACCTGAGGCTGCAAATGGCAGCCATGCTGTAGCACAGGGTCCTACTTGGGTCTTCATCCACTGCCACCGTCTCCATCAGGCCCTAGAGAGACCCAAACGACCATGTGAGATTAGGGGCCCCACAGGCCCGTCCTGTGGTGGAGACCACCCAGTACTCCAGGCACAGGCACATGGATCTGATCTCTATGGCAGGCCCCCTCCAACATTTCCCTTAAACGACCCACAGTGCTCAGTGCTTGGCCAAGCTCACCATGATCTTCTGTAGTAGGACCACTTTGCAGGTCTCCGGCTCCAGAGTATCCTCTCCCCTCTGCTTGGTGTCGCTGCAGAGTGTGAGGATGGTGGGAAGGAAGCCCTCTTCATGCTCCTTGTCCTGCATCCCCGCAAAGTGGGACAGGAGATAAGACAGGGTGTTGGCCAGGGACCTTCCTGTCCTCCCCAAAGGAAATGTGTGACTAAGACCCCTTGGTTGCCCCACTATCCTTGCACTGTCTCAATTTGGAGACCTTTGTTCATGTGGTATGGCCAGTCCCAAAGGCTAGAAGGTGGGAGTCAAGGGTGGGCTGGGTGCGAGCTCCCCTGGGGAAGTTTCCTACCTTTTCTTGGCCCTGGAGGTGAAGTATGATTTCTGTGAGGGCTTCTCCCTCCAGCAGCATCAGGTCTTCACCCTCGTGCCCTTCCTCCACCTCCTCGTCTGGCTCGTAGGGAATCACTTCACAAGGGAAGAAGGTGAAAAGGGTGATCCCTGCTGCAGCTTGGAGGAGGTAAAGGGATGCTTTCATGTTCCTTCTGCATCCTAGGGCCCTGTGCCAGAACAAGTATCACACAGCCTCCCCATGCGCCAGCTCCGCATTTTCAACTTCATGGCCCCCACAGCTGAGGGGGACCGGACTGTCCCTGCTTCCCTGGCAGGTGCTGGCCCCTGCACTGACCATGGCTCCCACTAAGCTAATCCCCACGGCGCCCTGCTGCAGGGAGCGGTGCTCATAACACTGGGATCACTGGAGTTTGTGTGTCTGAGGCCCTTCGCCCTGGCTGGGATTCAACCGTGTAATGCCAGGGATGGACAGACTGGACTGAGTGAGACCTTTGTCCCCAGGTTTTTGGCACCCAGGCTGTCTCTTCACCTTTGATGGTGGTGCCATAGGGCAGGTTGCTCCTGGACTCCACAGAGCTCTCAAGGTCTCCCCGGGAGGAGCTGGAGCTGAGGCTGGGGCTCGGGCAGGGCTTGCTGACCTCCTGCCCCCGGGAAGCTGGGTCCCCCTCCATGACAGTGCAGGGGGCCGCCTCCTCTGGCCTGGCTTCATGCACAGCTCCTGGTGGCTGGGTGCCCTGGGAGGGGAGCTACATGGCAATCTTGCCTGGTGCTCTTCCTGCAATGGGTCTTGCCTGCCCCACCGGAGCTGGGGCCACATCTTTGGTTTCATAGAGGGCTCCTCTCCCTCCTCGGTCTTTGTTCTGGGAGCTGTGGGTTTCCTGCTCCAGCAGAGCAGGCATGTCCAGCACCTGGTCTTGAATTTCACCTCCTCTGCACCACCGGGCCTCCCCTCCTCCTTTGGCCCAGGCCTCCTGCTGCTGTCCTCCGCCCCTGGAGACACCTTCGTTGTCCTGTTCTTCAACATCCGCCTCAGCCTGTCCATCCTGGCAGGGAGCAGGAGCAGTCATGAGCCAGGGAGCAAAGCATCTTCTTCTTAAACACCTGTCTGCCCTCCCTGACCCACCTGGGCCAGACTCCCTGGTTCAGGAAACCGGCAGCTCCCTTAGCTTCTCCCACCCCATCCTAGCACCTTTGGTCCTAGGGGTCTTAGGCTTTGAGAGCTGCGGAGTCAGGGACAAAGACCTCCAGTGGATTTGGACATGCAGTTCCGTCCCCTGCCGCAGTCCCCTCCCTGCCCTGGACTGGGATGGACCGAAACCCGGGTGTGCTTGCAACCCCTTGGATGTGGCCTCTGGCTGGGACACAGGAGCACCAAACCAATGACATGTGGAGCCCCTTGCATGAGAGGTGTGGGAGCAGTTCCTGCCTGGGGAGAGGTTGGGAGGCCGCCCCTTGGGGATCTTTCCAAACACCCTGCAGGTGGCCTTGGAGAGCCCTAGGGGCTGTGTCACTACTCAGGGGGGTTTGGATTATCCAGCGAAATTTGCAAGTACGTGAGGCCGGCAGGGGCACGCTGACGGCCACTCACTTGCCCTGGGTGATGGAGCACTGCTGGGCAGATGCTCAGAGACCCTTTGGGGGTGTCGTGATCCGCTTTATGCTCAGGTGCTGAGGGGTCCTGCCGCTCTTCTCTGGAGCCTCCGCTGCCTTCTAGCAGCTGTAACCGGTGGGTGTGAGGTCCGCTAGATGAAAAGGGACTACAGGATCTTATCACTAGGTTGGTTTGAACATAGCGCCTGGGAGAGCCCCTTCCCCTTCGCGAATTTGCACTTCTCACTTCTCCTTCCTCCTTCTACTTATGGGGTGTCTTTACCCCTGTCAATGCCCAGGAAAGGATCTAGTCCCCTGCTCTGCACTATCAATATATCTCACACTACATTTACTCTAATGACATCCAGTGTTCCTGTCCACACCGGCAGTGCGCCATGCCTTATTCATCCTGGCTCTGAAGAAGACCCTGCATCAGGAACCATTTGGTGGCTTCAGGTTCACAGTTCAGGAAAAAACCCATCTGGATCAGAGATACAAAACACACACAGGTTAAAACACAAATATTTCTTATCCTGTTCAATTCAGTGTGTTGCCTCTGGACCATGCCCAGCTCCTTCCTGCTACATATGGAGCTGGTAGGAAAGGTTACTCTTAAGGCAGGTATCTGTGGATGCAGAATTTGTCTTTACCTGTTTCTGAAATGCAGGCCCTGGGTCTGAAATCAGAAGAGACCCTCACTTCCTTGTCACCTCCACAACCATGTGAGGCTCAGGGTGGTTTGCCCAATTACCTAATGCTTTCCTGCTCACCCTCAGCTGAGAGATCCCTAGGAAAAATCCTCCTCTGGACTGGCTATGTTGTGCCTCGCCCGCCAGTGTCAGCTGATTGCTAAGAGAAACCACACGTGCCATGAAGTCTCACAAGCTTGCATGAAATACTTAAGCACCCGGATCCTGATTTAATCAGGGAAATGAATCCTTAAGTGCTATCAGTAAGGAAGGATCTCATGTCTGTGCGTCAAGATGATGGAAATAGGTACATGCTCACAGGTGAGGCTGAAGTTGTGAAAGGGAAAAGGAGGAAAGAGAAGGAGGATTTTCAATGATAAACTCCATAATTTGGAGCTGTGACCCCTGTAGCTTAAGGTGTTCTCCTCGCCTGGTGCACACACTTGGCTGTCCAATTTCTTTGAAACGGACCTGGAAACCTGCAGGCCAAGTAAAATGTAACAGACCTTCTGTTGGGGGTACCTTGGCTGGGTATGGCCTGGTGATCCTCTCACCTGGCTTTAAAAGGAAATAAAAGAAGGAATAGAGAAAGGGACTGGCCAGTTTCCAGGCCTTCCTCAAACTGTGATGTACGGGGTGAGTAAAAAACTGGAAGATGAGGTGCCACTAGACCCCAAGGCCCATGAGACTGGGAGTTTGGTGGAAATGCCACCAAGTCAAGTCAGGCCTCCCTGGGACCCGGTGCCCAGGAGCAGGACGGCGCTGGGTCCCGTGTGTCAGCGAAGTCTCACGTGGACATTCGAGGTTGGCAAGACGCCTCCTCCCTGGGATCCTTGTGCGTCGCGGGGGGGCAGGAGAGGGGCAGCGTTCCCGACGTCCCGCTCACCTGTCCCTGCCCAGACATGGGGCGGCTGTCAGCACCGCTCCAGCCGCCGTCGGGAACACCTCCGCTCCAGCAGTACCTTGTCCAAGTGGAGGACTCCTGGAAACACGCCACAGCTGCCATCAGTTGTGCTGAGACACACACCCCTGCCTGAGCGACAGCTCGGCCACTGGCATCATCCACTGCCACAGGCTCTTGTCTCCCCGTGACTTGTGCTCCCTGATCTCAGGTTTCCTGCCCAGAGGGGAGCGCTCCCTGGGGTCCCTGGAAAGCTGTTGCTGGGGCAGGAACAGAGCCTGAGACGGGGGTGGGTCCATGGTGCAGAGCACTGGTGTGCTGGGGCTGGTGAATGCAAGGAGACATAGGTTTGTGTATGAGGTCATGGCTGTTAAAATGAGCATTGCAGTGGGGTGTAGCTGGGAGGCCAAGGGATTTGCTTGACAAAACCATTCCTTGGTCAAGCCTCAGAGTTAAGAAATGTGGCTGAAAAGCTTTGGGGCATAAGATGCCCGTTCTGAATTTGCATCTTACTTGTCCACCATCTCTTCCCAGCCTTCAAGTCTCTCCAAGAAAAGATATTCTCAAAAATATTCTGCTCCTAGTATTATTGTTCATATTTAAGAATGCAAACTGAATGTAACAGGAAATATACAATTTACTATATCCCATGGCCTTGTAACATCTCTCCCAGGTGTAACACTGTTTATTGTTTGTTGTTGTTTTTCTTCACTGTTTTTTTAGTTCACCCGGGGTCTCAAAAGGGGACTATTTCCTCGAGTGGAGGGAGCGTGGAGGAGGGAGGTGAGTACTGCGTCCTCTGGGGGAGGGATCTGCGCTGCCAGCCTCACCGCCCTTTGTTGGGAGCTGGCTGATGTCACAATGCTGCCCGGCTGCCCTGGTGCCAGGGCAGCAGCCCTGGTGAGCTCCTGGGAGTCTCCTTTCTTTAGTCTGCTCGTTTTCAGGACTGATGGCTCCGTCTGGGCACATGGTGCCCCCCACCGAGTGTGAATCTGTGGGGCAGCCTCTGGGTCCATTTCCAGCCCTCTGGCTGCTCCCTCTGTGGCCATGATCCCTCCCTGCCTGCACGGCCCGAGGCCTGGAAAGTGCTGGCCCATGGGGCAGCCCTGGCTGAGGTGAGAACTAGAGCCCAGTAGCCCTGGTATGAGGAAGGAGAGGGCAATGCCAAGGGGGGTGGAAGAGATGGCTGTGATGAGAGTGCAGAGTGGCTGTGGAGAAAGGGGCAGGTGCTTTTCCCTCCTAGGGGACCCCAATTCTGATCTGCCTCAGGGGAGGGCATTGCCTGGCTCTGGGGCAAGGCAAGGGGTGAGGGGCCTCCCCCTCCTCGGCTCAACTCACCCACTCTCTACATACCATGTCCTCTCCTCTCTTCTCCACAGAGACTTCAGGATTTGCTGTGCTCTTGGGCTAAACCGTGCAGAAGCAGTCATTTTTCACAGTGCTGGGACCCAACTCCTGGGAATCCACTGATTTTCAGCAAATCTGGTTGAAACCGGGCACTTTGCAGTTTTCCATTGCACCTCTCTGCTTGAATCAGCTGCCTTTCAGGAGTACAGAGGTGCTGAAGCCTATGAGGGTCACGGAGAGCTGGAAGTACCTGAAATCTCAGCTGGAGAAGCTGCAGACAGAGAAGGTACTGGCTGGCATAGGGGTGGGACACTGCATTTACTGAGTCATCAACTCATAGGCCTGGAAGGACGCTCAGTATGTCATCTAGTTCAACCCCCGGCTCAGGGCAAGCTCATCCCTGGGCCAATCAGCTCAGCCACGTGACTATCTAAACTGCTCTTCATTTGCAAACTTGAGAACTGTGCACTCAGATCCTTCCACCACGTTCATGTTCCCTGACCATTTCTGTCGCCCTTCTCCACTTCACACATTGCTCGACTGCTGTCTGTGTTCATTGGGGACCCTACACTTTCCTTGGTCTTTCTCACAAGGCCTCCAATATAGAAGTCTTGGAGAGTGGCTTCATAAAGCCTCCTACTCTCTCCTCACTCATTTTGGGGTTTGTAAGAAACTCAAGGTGTGACAGCATCCCTGCTCAGATCCCCTCCCTGTGACTCTTTGGGAATCTGTAGTAGACACCCATTTCAATGTCACAATTGCTTTTCCCAGCCTTCCCAGTTTGGAGGTCTCCAATACACACCCATTCTGACAAGACCCTTACTATTTCCCCTTCCCCTCAAATCCCTGCTTTGGTGTCTGTTATAGAGATGGGTTATGAAATCACCCTTGCTGTTTGCCCCTCCCCTGGGCTAATTTGCTATGTGATTCATTATGTATAAAAGCAGAATAACAATGACTCCAAGATCCCTTTCCACTTCTGTGCTGTGCTGATGAGAGGGTCCTCCCCCAGCCGGTAAGTGGGCTGGTGATTCCTTCTCCCTCGGTGCAGCACCTTGCACTTGTACTAGTTGAACTGCTTCCTATTCTGTTCTGCCCCTTTTCCAACCTGTCCAGATCCACGTAGATTCGTTCCCTCCCCACT